GGGTGACAGGGCTCACAGACATTCTGAGCTGTGCTATGCACGCGTCTCTGCGAGGTGTGCACACGAGTCAGATTTGTCGAGCTCGTATTTTGCTACCACAGAAATTATTACAAAGTCTCACGTTTTTGGCTGTTTTGAGTTACTAAGGCCATGAGGTCAGAAACCAAATGTTCTATCTGCTCTATCAAAATAAATAGTATGATTATTCGGAGCCATTATCAAGATATTCAAAGAATTGCATTCGAAAAAGGCTTGACATGATGTGAAACTCACAATCTTTAACGTCAAATTTCTCAAAATTGAATGGTTGCTTTCAAGGAAAAGCTGGCTAACCCAGAATTTGGGAGTTTCCAGAAATCTTGACCTACACCAAAAGTGGGCATTGCCCTACATATAGGAGAAGTTTGGTTTCAATGGTGTGTATATTTGTTTGGTTATAGAGAAAATCCTCCTTGTCTTTTAAAGAAACCGAAAAAGGCTCAGAAACTTAACCTCCTATTTTCTCAAAACATCATTTTTCGCGATAGTCTCCTGGTGCTTAAAAGCGACCAACTATTAGGTACTGTGCAGATAGAACGTTGTAATCCTGAGGTAGCGATTTGCTAACGATTACACCATTCGATACTGTACTCTTCCCGTCTATTTATTGCAGTTGTCTTTTTTCATTTAGTAAATGTTTTATGGCGCTCGCAACTGCATAAGGTCATATGAGCGCGGGGGACACTTTAAATACTTCCAGTTGGTAGGAGAGTTTAAATTTTGCCCGGGTGACGACCGAAGCCTACTCTTTTATTTCGAACCACCAAGAGATCTTTAACGTGCGCAACTTGCACACAGGACCTCCGAGATTTTTCGCCCTTGTCCGAAAAGGCTAGGTGTAGATCTTTCCTACAAGAAGATCAGGGGTGTGACAGAAAGACAGCAATAAGGAGCCAAGGAGTAGCTGTAGAAAGGCTGCAGAAAGAGTCAGGAGCCCAGTGAAGGGGCAAAGGAGGTGAGGGGGTGGGGGAAGAAAGCAGACGACAGAACATTATTAGAGAGCAGGAAAGGAGGTGAAAGGAGACTAATTTAGAGAAGAAAATTTTCCGTCGCTACCCGGATTCGAACCCGGGACCTTTTGAATGAGAGGCGAGCGCCTTAACCTCAAGGCCACGAGAGCCCCCGTCAGTTGTCTGTGTGTTTCTAAATCACTGGCGAGACTTTCGGCTTCGATACCGTTGTCTCTTCTGCATGTCGCTTCAGAGAGTGACTGCCCTACGGTTCATCTCCCCGTGTGTGCATGTCCGCTTGTAGCTCTGATCTTTGACCTGTGAACTAGGGGTCAATGCTGCACGTGCTGATGAAGAGATGTATGGTGTTAGAGTAGGCGTTGGTGTCAAGGGACATGCTGTCTGCTGCATGTTTAATAACGGGTGTTCATCACACTACCCAGGGGCCTGCCGTTGGTTGGAGGGTGCCACTGGTAGATCCTACTTCTTTACTTTCCCTCTGTTGGTTTTGTCTGTCTGTGTGGGTGGTCGGAGGGTGCCACTGGTAGGTC